CATTTACAGTGTTTATTGAAAAACACTCATGTACATGTGGACCTGCGCAGTTCAAACCTGTGTTGTTCAAGGGTTAACTGTAGTTAATCAAGAATATGCCAACAAGATAACTTATTGGTAGTTTTTATCATCATGGGTTTTCATATTCTAGAGTGATGTTGGAAAGTTTTATAAAATTGTGCTCATAAAAGGAGCCAGAGCTGTGTTTTTACTTCACATGACAGGCCTGCTTCTGTAGAGTTTACAGGCTATGGAGAGTTGAAGAGACCTGAGAAAAACAAGCCTAAAAGGAAAATCAGGATGAAGATAATCTGCAATAAAAATTAACCTTTGTTATCACTTCAGGTTATAATATTAATAATTATCCATTGTAACATTAGAAGGACATCAGATAAATGAGAACTGGGTTTATGACATTCCGAATGGCTTTATAAGTTGGCTACTAATGTCTGTTTTTATTTCAAAATATTAGTCTACAAAATTCAGTAAGTCATCAAACACTTATTTGTACCTTCTCTTTATTCTTGAGACTAAATGAGGTGTGACAAATGAAGCATGAGCAAAATGGCCATGGTCCCTGTCCTGACGGAGCTTGGGGCTTCATTACATGATTGCTAAATATTTTTTGATTGTGTAGCTTTCTCAGGATTATTAAAAAAAAAAAAAATCAACAATCCCAAACCTACATGTTTATTTAAATACCAAATTAAAAAACAAAACAAAACAAAACAAAAAAACCCTGTACAAGGGTTGGCAAAAGTAGGTTTGCAGTTCTTGTATTTGATTACTTATTATTGTTCCATACGAACAACTGTAAACCTACTTTTGCCCACCCCTGTATATTAGGTACATTATAAAATAGTCACAAAAACATAGCTTTTTAAAAAAGCTAATACTAAAAATATACATATACATGTAAGTCCCCGTGCATCCTTCCCACGTCCCAGGGGATGGATCATCTTGAATATACCAAATATCTCATTTTGGAGAGCAAAGGGCTTGCGTAACTACTATATTGATCTCTCTCACATATTGTTCTTTGAAATACATTTGAAAGTAAGTTCCAGGAAGTTCTTCACAAGTGGGTAATCTGGCATACTAAAATGAAAGAGACAGAGCCCCAAGTTCCCAGAATGTACCCTTAGTGCCTAAACAGATGGCTTTCCACTGAGACCGGCCAGGAGGTCTAAGGGCCAGGCGCCCGCCCTGCCCATATCAGGCAGGTCCACTCTCAGGCCTGAGCTACCACTCTGCTCCTGGTCTGGCAGAGGCCACAGAGGCTGCCAAAGCTGGAAACAAGAATTGCTTTATAAATTGGACACCATATTTGTAACTAGTGTTTTCTTTATTGCCATAGACTGTTATGATAGACTTTGAAAATTGTGGTTGGTAGGCTGGATCACTAAGAGGCTTTAGAGTTCTGGGCTAAAGGGGGAAAAAAGCCAAGAAAATCCAGCCACAAACAAAAAAGGGGGAAAAAACAGCATTACTTGTCTGGCCAAAGACAGGCTGGGTAAACACCACTTTTTGCACACATACAATGTGATATTGTGCTTATGTCTAGCATTTGTTACCACTGGATGGGTCGATCTCTCAGTAATGATTGCAGCCACACGTGTAATTTTGTTTCATGGGCTCACTCAATATCTATATTAGAACTAAAACTAAGACACCAACCTACTTGTAAATGCCTGATACATCCATCCCACTTTCAGCATTGGCAAGAGAAATGAGAAATCTGATTATTTTTGGCAAGATATATAGAATGTCACATTAACTAATAATCCTTATCAAAGGATAACACATTTGGAAAATCATTATTTGGCAAGGGTTAGAGAAGCATAAATCATTACACATAGGATATGTTATGACAAAGTGACTAGCACAGAATGTGCACTTAATAAACATTAGTTGAGTCTAATGATAAGGTGTGAATAGTGCTCATCTCCTTCCTAAAGATCCTCTTGTCTGGAGGAAGAAACACATTGATAGTCTTTATTCTTTAAAGAGGGTACTTGTGTAATATTATTACCTGTGATTAATAGGTAAAGTCCTATAACACTAGCAAAACAAATGTGAAATTAATAAAATAAAGTTATACTCATTTTGTGAGTCATACTACCCAGTTAGTGTAATTAGGACTGCATGCCTTTAATAAGAGCGGTTGACTATTCTTCTCTGCCCACAAATCTTTCTCCTGGCTTGCTAGGTACTGAATCTCTTAAAATTAATATTACTCGTTTGGAATGAGGCACCAAGTCTCCAAAAGACTCCTAAGATAGTAAAAGTTCTGCTATTATTGTTCACCAACACCTTTAAGTACAAATTGGTTTATCTACAATCTTGGCAGTCACTTAGAAAGCTCAGAGGAAATGGGACCATGAACAGCTATGTTCTGATGGGGTAAGTAAGGGCAGAAAAGTTCACTGAAGCAATAGAAGGTGTTGCAGGACTGCCAGGGAGCAGCAAATGGCCACCACGTGCTCTCTCCATCTGAGATCTGTTTTCTCATAAACCATAAAATAAGGTTATTACTCTTTAATAAATATTAAATTTATTAAATACATTATACATTTATTGAAAATTGTAAATAAACTGTCCCAGAACCATTTTTGAATAATTCAAACTATGCCTGCTTATTTGAATCATTTTATATTATATTAAGTTATGACACACATACAATAAGTTCTACTCTAAGACTGGTGTTATCTTTCATGGATTACGACTTTGCATAGTTACGTCTTGACATTGTCCAATCCAATTTTAAAAGCTACAGCAGAGTTTCCTAGTTTCAGTTTGTAAGCTTTGTACCTTCCTTTTTAAGTTTATTTTTAGGGAATATTTTTAAGTTATGAATGGACTCTCATTTGTGTTTTCTAATTATTGTTTGAGATGAGGGGAACCAGTGAATACTAACTTTTATAAACCGTTTTATTGTGCCTGTAGCCCCTCAGTTCCTTTTGAATTTTCCCAAGAAAACAATTACATGACATACAAATTCTGCTTTCTCCACATATATATTTTCATATTTCACTCTTTTGAGTACTTACACTAACTAGTACATTCTGAGTGGTAATTAACATAGGGATACTGGGCATCTTCGTTGTGTTCCTGACTTTAAGGGAAATGCCTCTACTTTTCACTATAAGCTAACTTTTAGTTTGAGAAATCTCAGATAACATCAAGAATCCAGCTAGTTTTATTTTCTAATGGATTTTAAACATCATAAATAAAATAAAAATTTTGTCAATCACTTCTTAGTATTTATGAGATGATAATGTTTTTCTCCTGTGACCTGTAAAGATGAACCATTTTTGCATTCTCAAATAAATGCCAATGGTATCTATTCTTCTTAACATTACTTAATTTCAAAATCACCTGGCTAACTTGCATACTTATTTTTTTCAGAAGAAACAAAAAGGATAATTTTTAAGACCAAGCCAATGGAATTAAAAGTTTCCCTTCCTTGTAAGAACATACAACCTGGGTCAATCTAAACAGAAAACTAGGAAATCATCACTTACCTAACCAGAATTACCTTACTTAGGGGTTCAGTTGTGAAGTAATAGATTGCCTCTAGTGCATATAAATAACTTTTTGCAGAGAGATTACTAAGTATTAGAGAAATAGACTAAAAAACAGACTACTGAAAATGAAGCATAAAACAAAACAAAAATGAATTGATTAGAAGAATTGCTATACCTCAGAAATTATGATGTAAGAAAACAAGATTAAGTTTAAACCCACATTATAAAATATGCATCTACTGCATAAAGCTAAGCACTTACACATTAATTATAATGAAAATTTAATACTTACAAGCAATATGTTGTCATAGATATAAGAGCAATCTGCACTTTGACTCCATGATGCACTTTTTAACATTTTAAATGTAATCTAAAAGATTAAGATGCAACTAGAATCTATGACAATTGTGTGTTTAATTTTTTAGTCAACATTTTGTTCTTTGTGATGCATGAAATAATAAAGCCAGTTGAAAATTGGTAGTATCTCAACTTTAAGGGTTATACAGCTTCACTCCCTGCCTCTACCTTTAACTCGAATCCTCTTTTTAAAAAATACTATTACTATATGTAGATTTAAAAAATAATTTTTTAAATCTTGCTCAATTCAAATTTAATTTAGATTTAAGGAATTTGAGAACTTTAGGATTTACTGTAAAATGATCAGATAGCCCAGGGAGTGGCAAATTACAGGTTGGGCTATAATGGTAGATGCAAGAATCCATGCAGGTGTGCATGCACTGGAGTCACTGGGCTTTACCAAGTCAGTAAGTAAAATAATTCCAAGGCTCATGAATCCTCAAGGGACCTTATCCAGAAAAGTAAAACATGCAGTTACTACAGTGTTTCTCAATTGGAGCTGTCAGCATAAGAGAAGTCACTGGTCTTCTCTGTCCCCATTTCTTCTCTTCTCACCCAGCTCTCCCGGAAAATGAGAAAATGGAAACAGTACATCTTGCCCATCACATCATGTCCTATTCTATTTGCTTACCTCCTCACCATAGATGAAAACAATGGACCAGTTACAATTATTCTCAACAGAACCCTGGATCAACAGGTGCAGAATAGGAGATCCTATCATTACAAAACCAAATATAAAGGAAAGAGTTAGCAGAGTCCTTTGAAGCAAGGGAGTGGTTCTAGGGCAGGGAATTAAAACAGGCAAACTGACCCCTTGACTCACAAAGGAGGAGGAGGAGGAGGAGGAGGAGGATGAAGAAGGGGAGGAGGATGAAGATGAGGAAGAGGGGGAGAGAAAAAGAAAGAAAAGAGTACTTCCATAAACATGAATGTCTCTGGTCGCCATATTCAACCAACAACTTCAAAATAATTCTGCTAATCCCTTAAGTCTCTTTAGCTCTTTTACAAATTCTTAAAATAAAAAAAGAACAAAATCAACAGAACTTAGACTGTTTTAATTTCATTATTAGTATAATGAATGAGGGCACTTGACTTATAAACTCAATGTGGACTCACCTTTCCCACAGCTGCTTGAAAAGCCTGTTTAATTCTTTTACACGAATCAGGCATTAATCTTGTGTCTTGACTCTTCAGACTTGTGTCTTGCAAATCTGTGTTTTCATGGAGTTTTAAAATTCTATTAATACAGCGGGTGTCATCTTCTGATATTCTATTAGGGTCCATCTGAGAAACAAAAGTGTAAGGACATTAGAGTATTTAACATTAATTTTTATTCTACTTAATACAATGTGCCTTAAAAACAAAAAAAAATATTTTTGCAAGAGTCCTTATGCCCTCAATAATTAATAGTAATACAATTACCCTCAAATTGGTAAAAAAAAAATTGACTTCTAATTTATTTTTATGAGTAGCTAACTATCATCCTCAACACAAGCGTACATTGTGGATTCATGGCGAAATTGTCAAAATCATCTGACAAGGTGGAAGTCCTCACAGGGGACAGGGTCGTCAAGGAAATCACATTTGGTCATCGCAGGTAGAGAAAGCTTTTTGTCTTTAAATCATATGCAGCATGCCGGGTGGGATTATGAAGCCCACTTAGATATTCAAAGCATGAAGCCTACATAAATCAAATGAAATTAACATCCTATTTAGCCACCATGTCTGTCTGACCTCTTTCCTAAAATAATGTACATTTTAATCAGCCAAACAGGGTAACAGAAATCCATTTCCTAGTCCCGAAAAAACCCTGAAGCCAGAGATAATTTGCCTTTTTATTGAACCTCTTATCAGTGCTTCTCAACCTGGAGTGGCCCCGCTGTCGGGGGTGCTGGGCATGTGAGAGTGAGATTTGGTGTCACTTGGGATGAGAAGGGAAGCATGGGGTTGAGCAAACGATATGGATATGTATGGAGGGGACCCTAAAATTCAGTCATGTGAGGTATTGTCCCACACAAAATATCCCTATCAATTACTCTCTGGTCAGCTGATTAAACCAGGTGCCAGTATAAGCATTTAAGTATTGCTCTTTTCTTAAAATCCTCTGCCTCCTCCTTCCAGGTCTCTGACACACCTTCATAGTGGCTTCAACTACCAAGTAAAGGTAGAGACAATTAGCTATTAATTGTTTTAATAATAATAGCTTAATTTTTTGTCCTTCTATTTCAAAAATTAAAGGTACTTCATATGCATTTACTTATTAGTAGATACAGACTAGACAAAAAAATAAAAAGTAACAATTACATAAGTTTACAGTAACCAAAGCTCAGCCAATAATACCGAGTCTCCATTTCCAGGTTTAATTATCTTTTTAAAAACTAATCAGAAAAATGTTCAAATTTATTAAAGAACTATCAGATATAAACTGGAAAGTACCCTATCCATATCCGAAATTCTCTAGGTGGAATGATAGCCTTTCAACAAATGTGCAACCACTAATATGAATTTTATTATTCCAGTCTTGCAAAATATAAGGATTATCTATAATCATGGGAAAGATATGACTCATAAAGCAAAAGTATTTCCAATCCATATTGAATTTTATATTTTGTTTAAAATAATTATGAATCAGGATATTTCAGTTTTTATATAAGGAAAGCTTTCAATCACATGCTTTAAAAAAAACCTCATTTATCCCAACAAGTTTCCCACGAAAGCGGAAAAGCCTGGGCAACAGTTATGGTCATTGAGTTCAGATCTCGGGAAGAAGATTCACGCAGGGGCCTTGGTAGGTCACCACCAGAAAACTGCGGAGCTGAAGGAGCACCGTGGCGTCAGTGGGGAACTATCTGGGGGCCCTAAAATTGATTCAGCTCAAGTCCTGCGAACACACTAAGCATCATTCTAACAGAAACAGCAGTCCCGATTACTCCCACTAGTGAAAGTGTAGCCCAAACACCTGCAGCATCAAGGGCTCAGGAGGAGCTTGTTAGGAACAAACGCAAAATCATAGCGCCCCACCTCCACTCACTCCCTGGAATCTGTATTCTTACTAAATTCCAGGTGATTCTTATGCACATTAAAGTTTACAAGTAATGCTTATAAATGTCAAATATACAAATATAGATTTCTGCTATTAAAGTGACTTCAAATTTCCAAGACAACTGAACAATTTTAACGTTTTGACAAGTTAACACCAGTTAGTACCAAAATATGCAGCACTTAATAATGATTAATGATTTGATGCAAAGAACTATAATGCAAAGATTTGTGTCCTCTCTCTCGGGGCGGGGGGGCATGTCCAGAATCTCCCTTCCAATTTAATCAACATCCCTAAGGGAAGGGGCCAACTCAATCTCTCTACAGGTGTTTCAAATGTGCAGTTGAGAATCACTGTTTCAGAATGTATCTCCTACCCCACAATCTATCTCCTAACAAAGGAGTGTGGACAGATAATTTGCATGACTGAATAATTATACTTTTAGGTATATTTTAGTCACTAATTAGATAATTCACATATTACAAATTAGAAATGGATATACTTCTAGTGTTGCAAAGCATTTGAAAAGCTTTTTCAGTAAATTAAATGAGCCAGCTACTGGGCTAGATGCTGCAAATAAGGTAGTGAGCAAAAGAGATAGTCCTTAGCTTCAAGGAACATACACTCGACAGAGAAACACAGAAATTAATCAAAAAAAATCACAGTAAACTTAGTTACAAATGAATTCATTGTACTTAGAAATGTTTGAAAAGATTAGATAAATCTTGACTATCTAATTTAAAATGGACTTCTTAAATGCATTTATCAGATGATGTAGTTCATGCAAAATAAACTCAATTGTTTAAAAAAAAAAAAACCTTCCCTGAAATTCAATCATTTGTAGGGTTAAATGAGGCAGGATGCTTGACATTTGTGCTACTTTCTTATCTGTTTTGACGAACAGGCAGCCTGCACACCTCTACATCAGATTTTCAGCAGTGACTGCTCTCCTGTTTTGGGTAGCAAACAGCCAGAGAGGTTGGTGTGCACATTGGGGGCTTGAAGAAAGGAGTTAAAAGGGCAACAGAGATTGAGTTTTCTGAAAAGCTTATCTCTAAACTTTGAATATGGTTGTAGGGATGTTTTTAAAGTGTGCATACATTTACAAGTAACTTTTTGAAAAAAAATTTTTTTTCTTGGTAAACCAAAGTATGAATACTATGTGGTAAGTATATAGCACAAGCCACATGCTGTTTTTTCTTTGGCAAGGTTGGTGGGGGAAAAGCCAACCTACACTGGATCTAGTACCCTTTTTTCTTAATCTAAGCACTGGTGATCTGCAAACATTAAGGAGGCTGATTCATTTTTAACTATTCAAACATAAATTGAGAAGAAAAGAATTTTAAGTCATTAATTTTTATACTATTGTGTGCATTCTTCTAAATGCATTAAAACTAAACTAAACTGTTTTTTGTAAAGATTTGTATGGCTTTACCTCCATCGCTTTAAACAAAAACAATAAAACTGGTCCCTTTTTCTAGTAAACTGCACTGTTACCTGATACTAGATGATTTCATTCTAACTCAAATGCATTCAGAAACCCCAAGTATAATAGCTGACCCACAACTTCAGTGGAAGTCAAAAAACTATGGGTACCTAGTTGTAATCTAAAAGAGCCAAGATAAATGAAAATGTTAAATTAGTGATAGGTCAAATTGAATTTATTCTCTTAGCTCGAACTTTGAAAGAAGGCCTCCTGCATATATGAAAGTGGGGTAAACTGTAGAGTGAACTCCCACATAACACATCATGAGCTTCAACAATTGCCAAGGCATGACCAATCTCGTTTCATCTCTAAATAACCACTTCCCTTCCCTCACCCTCTCCATTATTCTGAAACAAACCCCAGACTTCATAGCATTTCATTTATAACTACTTCAAAATGTATCCCTAAATTATTAGGCCTCTTCCATGCATCAAACTTAGATATCATTGTTAATAAAATGCACCCCTATCTAGTGGTGTTTTCTTATGAACACATTGCTCCTAATATTACTTCTTTACTGAAGGAGATGAGCCTTTACAAATGAAGTACAAAACTAGGTTCAGAGTAATGGCTAATAAATACACAGGGTTCAGCAGAAGTAACGCCTACTTAAGTATGGTTGGTAGGGTAGTAATATGGGTGTAATAGTTTATAGTTTTAATTTGAACATGTCACCTGAAATGTCATATGGTGTGCTTGGATGTGATATTGTTATGTTACAGAATTACATGCTTATGATTTTGTAATACAAGGGGCATTATTTGTGCCGGACCCTGTATTTTGCATCTCTTAAAGCCCAATCTTCAGGTCATTTAGGAAAATTGTATCCAGAAATATCATGACATTTCATTCTGTAAATAAAGATTTTCTAGCTAGGCTGACTAACTTACATGTTTATTTTGGAAAAAGCGTTTTGGGAGTTTCACTATTATCCATATGGCATCAAGACCACTGAGTTACAACAGGTGATCACCCAAAGGCTATACCCCTCATGCCAACAGACCATTAATATTAAGAATTTCTACCAGGAAACTGAGCAACTATAATATGAGCCCAGCAAGTCACTCTCTCCTATGTGGCCACATCGGTTTCCATGGTTCCTGCCAGTGTAAGCTGCTTCTGGTCCCTAGAACTCACTTATTCCCCACTGCTCTTTCAATGCTGAACATTCACTTCACTATTGCTGCTATGAAGATGTCTCACACCAAAGGTGTTAGAAAAGATAAAAGGTGGCAAACCAGTGCATCTTCTGGCCCTTTTCTGAATGCTGTTTTGTTTTTTGTTTTTTTTTTACTTTGAATAATTAAATTTTTTTTGAATTTTTTAATTTTAACTATATTTTTTATTGCTGTTCAAGTACAGTTGCCTCCATTGTCCTACCACCACTTTCCCCTGCCCCACTCACCCCTTTCCCCCCTTTGGTTTTGTCCATGGGTCCTCTACACATGTTCCTTGATGGCCCTTCCCCGTCTTTTCCCCATTGTTCCCCTCTGGTTACTGTCAGTTTATTCTTTATTTCAATGTTGCTGGTTATATTTTCCTTGCTTGTTTGTTTTGTTGATCAGGTTCCATTTATAGGTGAGGTGATATGGTATCTGTCTTTCACTGCCTGACTTATTTCACTTAGCATAATGCTTGAATGCTGCTGTCTTGTTTGACTAAGAATTTTAAGTGTTTTGTTGTAGGCTTTTCCATTAGCTGGCACCATGCCATGCACACAGTCAGTTTAGATTGCATGTTAAATAAATGATTAACTCATATTCCACAGCACTTAGTAGTGCCATGTGCAATGCAGGTACTTAATATACTAGCATTAAATGGGGGGGAAACAACATGCTGAAGAGGAAAATGGATAGCCACTCATTCTTGACGGCAGCATACTCCAGTGAAAGAAAAACATTTCATCACTTTCATGTGTTGCAAGTACACCACTCAAAGTTGTTTTTAGAAAAAAATTTCTCAATAGTATTTTTATTACTATGCAAATACAAATTTTCTAAAGTATTCCTCTTATTATTTCTACCCTTGTTTTAATTAGATAATGAAATTAGGTCTATAAAACGCAAATGAGTGGATAATGAAAACGTAACAAAAGGCCTATGATATCAAGTAATGCAGTTCAAGACGCTGGCACATGTCAAAAACCTATACAACCCAAGCAACGCCATGTTTTGATGCGTCTAGTTGGGTTTAGTAATCACCTTTGAATCTGAAAAGCAGTGAAGTCCAAACCCAACTCTCTTTTCCCATAAAAAAAAAAAAAAATGCACAGTCAGCCCTCCACTTCCTCTGAGAAGAGTTCACAGCACCAGACAAGAATATTTGAATGAATCCGACCAACTGCACTGCAATTTCCAAGAAAACACAAGAGTGTAAACCACCAGAAAGCATAATATTACAAATTTACCCCTTCCTTTCTCTCTGCAGTTCCCAAGCCGTCTTCCTACTCTTGTAAAAGGTTGGTTATTTGTTAGACTGTATCAAAGCTGTGTCAGCGGGGAACTTCACCATTACATACACCTTGCTTCCTTCTTCTGCGCACCTTAGTGGGAAGGCACGTGGGTCTTTCCCTCTTTTTTCACCTCGCACAAGCGGAGCCGCGGTGGCACGGACACACTTCTCTGGTCGCGCTATCATTCCGCCCTCCTGGCTACTCGGACATCACCACCCGCGGCTCCAGCGGCTGCCGGCAGCCCTAGTACCGCGGCCCCAACGATACCTACAAAGCAGCCGAACCCAGGCACCCAAACCCTCTTGTGGGCGGGAAGGGAAAGAAAGGCTCGATGCTTAAGTGAAAGCGCTTATTTTTATCCTAAGTGGACGTACGTTAATTCTTAGCCCCCAGTGAGAAATGGAAAGGGAAAAGTATGCAATCATTTCCAAAAGAAGTGAGCGGCCAATGCTGTCTCGCCGGGGGAAATTCAAACGCACCAGGCCAGGAGACCCAGCCTCCGCGCGCTGCGAGGCCGGGTGCGTGCGCGGAGATCGGCCGCCAGCGCGTCCGGCCCCGCGCCAAGCTGTCCCCGAGCGGACGCTCCCTCTTTAGAGTCACTTTTCTCTCCTGAATATGCAATATCTGGAGAGCCGAAGCGGGGGCCCAGACTCAGTTTCCCACCAGTGCGGGAGGAAGAAATAAGACGGGTGAGCCTGACCCGCGCGCCTCTAGGGAGACGAGCACTCACCTGCGCTCGGAAGTAGAGGAACAGGGCAACGCTGCAGACGACCTGGCCCAGCCCCAACCCCAAGAGGGCCACGAACATGAAGCGGGAGGTGGCTGCAGGCTGGTGCGGCGCGGGCGCGGAGGGCGGCGGCGGGGCGTGCAAGGGGCCCTCGTGAGGGGCGCCGGAGCCGCCGCTGCCCATCTCCTCGGAGCCGCGTAGGTACTTGGTGTAGTCTCGGCTGGCGCGGCGCATGGCGCTCCGCCCGCTCTCTCCGGCGCTCACCTCCCTCTCGTTTCTTCCACCGCTGATCTGATGTGCCAACTCCAAAGGCAGCCGGCGCGGGGCCAGGCGGGCCTCGACGTGGGGCGCTCAGAGCCAGGCGCTGCTTCTGGGCGCGCGGGCGAGCGGGCAGGGCGCCCGGCCGCCCCGACTCTTATAAACCGCTTGGAGAGGGTTGGCCTCAGGAGCCAATCAGCCCCGGGCGAGGCTGCTTCTTCCACTCCCACCTCTGGCTCCCCTTCTTCCTTTCGCCGTCCTTTCTTACTCTCTTCTCTCAAAGGCTTCCTTCCCACTGGGCCCTCAGAGGAGGAGGCTGTGGATTGTTCCAGCGGTGACAGACACCACTTGTCCATCCTCAGACGCCTTTTTGAAAGTCCAAGAGATGGGCCAGGAGATATACGGATGCATGTCTTGGTTAAGGAGAAAGGTGACATCAGACTTTCCTCAGGTAGTTTGCATTTCTGAACCTCAGTCTCCCATATATGATTTTAAAAGTTGGACTTAGGGATCTCTGAGGGCCCTTCCTATCTTTCCCTCCTCCCATTCCTCCCATCCCCGGAAAAAAATTCAGAAAGGACCAAACTCAGGTATCCTGAGCATGCAGTTGCTAGGATGGTTCCATATCTAAGTTCTTAATCAGTTTTTTGGCAGACTTAGAAAACCAGAAACCCCCCTTTTGCAGATCCCTATTTCTACACCCTCAAAGTGGTTTTGAGCAATGCAGGTTTTGATTGTGACAGGCGGAGAGCCTATAGGCACCAATTCTGACTTTAAAAAAGAAAAAGTTACAGAGAGAAAAGGTAGGACCCATTAGCTTCATATCAGTATAGAGAATCATATATTACATTCTTAAAAAGTTCGCCATACGCCACCTCTACTGCTTAGCAGTTATTTCCCTTCAGAATCCTAAAGATAAGAGAAGCCTCAACCCCATGCAGACAGCTACAGGAGGGCTCACCTAACTGTCAATCAGGAGAGAGGAATGTTACACAAAGCTGATGGTGCAGTTAAATGGTAGTTTCATTGCTAAAGAAAACTTTCCAGGTCTTTTTAAAAGCCTCTGTTCAGAATTGTGCCCCTTGGTGAGAAACTGAAAATATGAACGTTGCTCACAAATTCTGATACATCTTCAGCAGGGAGTAAGGGAGGTTCTGGCCAATTTAAACACATATAAAAACTTAGGATGTTTCCACTTTTCATTAATGCTTTGTAGTATTGTGTCCTCTTTCTGCATAGTTCTCTAAAGGGCACTTCTATAAGCAAGATTTATCACAAATGACACATCTCTAAGTTATTAAAGCTGCTGACCTCAGCTGAGCACTTAGAATTCAGCACACATTAAGAAAGAGCAACCAGGTTGGATAAAAGAGCACCTGTACAAAATAAATCATTTGTTCAAATTCAAAAGTGCTTTTACCAGTTATATGGGTGTATATATAGATATATCAGTTTGATAGGGAAAGAGGGAAAAATTCAAATTCTAATATACAAATAATTCTACTCCTTGCAATCCTGGGTGTCTTTCTACATTATTAGTTTTGCTAAGTAGGGATTTTTTTCCTCCTCTTCCCTGTCCTTGTTTTGGAAAACAATTCTATAGCTCAAACTTTTTCTAAATCTCTGTAAGGATGAAAGACTTTCTTATAGCAGGTAACCCACAATGGCTTTACTGCAGCCCCTTCCTTCTTGTCCCAGTGTTTTATCATGGTTTCATTCCTTGACATCTTGATATTCGGATTGCAAGAAGTTCCCTCGGATGTCTCAGAATCATGTTCAGGTACGTGAGACCCAGTAGCTTCATGTATAGAACCACAGATTGCATTTCTACAGACTTCTTTATGTGACACTCAGACTCCTTAGCAGTTATTTCTCTTCATTATCCTAAAGATGTCATCCCATTATATTCTGTTACCCATAGGCTAGACTGGAAATTCTCAGTCTATATGTTCCTCCTTCAAAGGTAATAAACCCTTCTGCCTGTTTATTTACATCCTCACTTGTCAACACTCCATGCTCCCAAGTTAATATATAAAGCCCATAGTTTCAAGGACTTTATCCATACTACTCACCACAATATCCCCCATGTCCTAAATTGTTGCCTGGTGCATAGGAGGTGCACAGTAAATACGTGCAGAATAAAGAATGATTGAAAGGATCCACAGAACCTCTGCCACTATCCAGTCAAAGCCACACAGCTTCTCACCTAATCACAGCACCTAATTGGTCCCGCTACATCCAGTCTTGTTTGCCCATGGACCATTTTGTACATACTGATCCTTTAAAAAGGATTTCCTTTTTAAACCAAAAAGATCTATCATTTCCCTATTTCTAATCTTTCAATAACCTCCAAGTATAAAGTCTAAACTCTTGAGATAAAAACCTCAAATGGTCCTTCACAACTTGACTCAAGACTCCTTTTCTACATCAGCTTCAAATACTACTGCAAGCTGTAGCATGCTTCTCTCCTATCTGCCCACAACTGGGTGACTCTCCTACTCAGCTCAAATATCCCTTCTCCAGAAGCCTCTGTTCCCCTAGCTCAGGTCAGCTTCCTCTGTTTTATTCTTTTTTAGCACCCTTAACTTCTCCTATCATGACATTCATGCATGCATTCATTTATTCTACAGGTACATTGGTGGCAACCCACTATAAACCAAGCACTAAGCTGGACTCTAGGGACAGAGTGGCAGTCAAAATAGAACATGAGGTTTATACTCTAGTGGGGAGGGGGAGGGGAAAGCATATTGAATAAATCACCTAACGAATTGTTAGCTAAAACCATTATAACTGTTTAGAAGGCAAAGTGCAAGAACAATGAAAACATCTTAATAATAATGGGGCCTAACCTATTCTGTAGAGTCAGAGAAGGCTTCTTGGGCAAAGATAATGATTACAACTATTCCCTAAGTAATAGCCACCCAAAGAGGAAGTGAACAGGGATTATTTTAAACAGAGGATGATTGTGTTACTATAATTATTTGTTTACTATATCTTCTTTGTGGGACTTGTATGTGAGTTCATTAATATCTTTATCATTATATTAACCTATCAATTAATTAAATTGTTACCAAAATCAAAATAATTAAGTCAAGACCCTAGTAAACTAATATATATTAAGAGATACCAAGACCAACAACACAATTGAAGGTTCAAGTTCATATCACTACTCAGATACAAGTAACACATAACTAGATAAACATTTCTCAAGTTGAATTTTCTGGTCACTTGGTGCATTAAGAAGGGATTCTTTTGAAGTCAAGTGGCAATTTATTGGCTTGTGTATTTGAAAACGTAGGGTTAGGTAGCTTCAGGCATGGCTAGATGCAGGACTGAATCCTAAAATGCCTTTCCCTTGAGCCAGAGGATTGTGTTACCCTAATCTGAACCTCATGGGCTGAGTGGGAGGGGGAGAAATAATTCCCAAAGGAAAATTAAAGTGCAGATATCAAAAAGATTAGGAGTTTATGCTATACTACTGGGCAAGCAAAAATAAAAGCTACCCACTACTAGTAATTTAGCTAAATCAGCAATGTTCAAACTCTGGTCTCAGGACTCCTTTGAAGCCTTAAAAGTTAATGGGGACCCCAAAGAACTTTCATTTATGTGAGCTGTATTTGTAACTATAGCTGGTGTGGCTCAGTGGATTGAGTGCCAGCCTGAGAACCAAAGGGTCACCAGTTGGATTCCCAGTGTAGAGCACATGCCTGGGTTGCTGGCCAGGTCCCCAGTGGGGGGCACATGAAGTGCAACCACATATTGATGTTTCTTTCCCTCTCTCCCTCCCTTTCCCTCTCTAAAAATAAATAAATAAAATCTTTAAAATTTAAAAAAAAGTTAATGAGGACCCCAAAGAACTTCATTTATGTGAGTTGTATTTGTAAATATTTGGCATATTAGAAATCTAGACTAAGAGATTTTAACCTATTAGCATGTTAACATAGTACAGTTTTATTTTTTTTAAAACACTTTTTTAAAAGTAGACAGAACAGTGACACTGTTTTACATTTAAAAAAATCTTTTTAATATCTGGCTTAATAGATTCTCATATCCACTTCCGTATTTAAGCTGTTATAATATTACATATCACACAGCCTCTGTAGCACTCCACTGTACACTCTTGAAAGAATGGGAATGCAAAAGGGAAACAATGCTTTAGTGTTATGAAATACTTTGACTTCATTGAACCCTTGTGAGGATCTCAAAGACCCTTAGGCATCCCCAGACCACACTGTGGAAATGGCTGTTCGAGATGTTAGTTGACATTCACTTAATAAAAGGGGTAATCCCATGGGCAGATCAGCATGGAAAATGCTGTGTTAGTCAACATTAGTTGTTTTATGCTTAATGCTGATCTTATTAGTGGCATTAATGTACAAATAACTGTAAACCTCCTATAAAGAGATTCGACATTCACTGTTTTCCAAAAAATTTTAATTTTTTGAGGGGGGGAGGGGGCAGTTAAGCAAAAAGATTTGGTAAAAACTATATGAGAAACACCTGTAGGACACAAGCAGACCATACAACAAAGATGGCCTAAGTGTCAATAAAGTAGTGAGTAACTAGGGGACATATGGGGAATGAAGGACAGGAAGAGGAGAGACAAGAGACAAGACTATGGAGAACATCGAAGAATATGGCAAATTGGAGAAATGCATTCAAATCAATTCTAAGTATTGTGCTTGACCCCACAAAGCATTTTCACATATGTGCAGTTTTAAGCCCTTGCTAGGGCTTCATGGAGCCCCCTTAAACACCACTGGTCGATCAGATTACTCTCAACCTCCTTAGCATGGCTTATATTGTCTTCTGATTCTTACTTCCTTTGTTGTCTCATTTTTCCCCTCCAGCCTCACACTTTGTGTCCCAGCAACTCAAATCTACTTGCACCCTCCCATTTCTTATCTCTCTACATTTAGCCATCCAATCTCTTCTACCAGAATGGCCCTTTTGTGACTTTTTCACCTAATCACTGG